AATATTATAAAGGGATAATATATGTGTAAGTCCTATATATGTATATATTTAATTCTCTTAGAAACAACTATGGCTAATACGGATAGTACATTCAATGTTATATCTTCTTCAGATAACATTCGTTCAACAAGTACAAAGAATTATACATATAATTTCTATCTAGCAAAACGTATACCTTTAAATATTCTAGGTACTGATGAAAATATTTGGTCAGTGGTTTCTTCACCAAAACCTCAGCTAAATATATCAGCATCAGATGCAGAAAATTTAACTGCAATCAAAAATTATTCTTTAGTATCTAATGAACAACAAAACTGTAAGTGTTAATTATATTTGTTCATCATTATTAAACTGATTTAATTGGCAGACGTAGATTCATCTAAGTCGAAACTTGAGAACTTATCAACATTGGAAATATCACGAGAACATATACAATCAGTTCAATTGGATGCAATAAATACTTTACGATCACATCATCCAGCTTCATTGATATCCTCACGACAGATGATGAAATTAAATTGGTATTTAATAGATTTACCTGGTATTGGACTTGTGAATAATAGCAAACAAGATAAAAATCTATGTTTTATCAATGCAATCATTCAATGTCTTGCATATACACCCGGTCTAGCTCAATGGTTATTAACTGAACATGATAAACGAATTACTTGTACGTATCAAAAACAGAATTAGTTGATAAAATACAAAAACTTAAACGAATAGTACTATCGCTGGATCTGGGATTGAAAATAAGACACGATTAAGAAATGTTTTTTGTAAAATTATTCATGTGAAATTCATTCATATTTTTCATATATAAGCGTGTTTTATGGTTATAGACAATATATCTACACTTTAAATTATGTATTTATAGGTGAAATTTCATCGGCAAATCATTTTTGTTCTATGTGTGAAGTATCTATTATTATTAATTCAATTCATCAAGCACGTCATGGACTATCAACCGATTTTCAACAATTATCTACTGCTTCGGCATATACTTTATCTCGAAACATAAATGAATTATCGCCAACGTTTACTCCTGGTCGACAAGAAGATAGTGATGAGTTTTTAAATTGTTTACTAAATCACATGGTTAAATGTTTAATGTCG